CGGGGGGCGCTTTTCGGGGGCACGCGTGCGCACATCTGCGAACCATGGGCTGGCCTTTGCCCGCGGCCCGAGCGGAGCGCAGGGGGTGGAGGGGCAGCATTGGTCGCCTGGCTCAGTGTCAGAGAGCTCTTCTCTCTCCGCTTCCACCTAAGCATATACAGCGGCGCCTGTTCGCCTTTCCTGCGCCCCCTCTCCCCTCCGCAGGGGGCTCTCAATGAGCTCGCACCTCCAATCTAGCGATGCTGACGATCATCTCTCACCTTTGCTCTCTCTCTCTCTCTCTCTCAGCCAATCTACCCACGCGCGCTCTCGCCTCTTCTCCCGCTCTGAGCCGCACGGGCATCTATTTCGGCTTTGCGCGCGTGCTGCCTCAAGATGCGGAGGATCCCGACATTGCCCAGGCCGGCGAGGAGCATCTGACGCACCCGGCTGGCGCACGCGAGGACCAGCTCGCTGCCGCTGCCGCTGCCGCGTCGGATGAAGAATGGAACGACGACAGCGTGGTGCTGGGCGCGAGTCCGCCGCCGCCGCACACTCAATCGGCAGAAGCAGGCTTTGCGGAATACCTGGATGCACGCGACGCCAGCGCGGCAGAAGGAGCAGGAGGGCCAGCGCCAGCAGCAGCAGCAGCAGCAGCAGCAGGGCAGAAGCCGAGACAAATGAGCGCCGCCGCCGGCCGCAGCGTCGGCTCCGTCATGGAGCGAGTCGCCACTACGCAAGGAGGAGGCGGAGGCACGCCGCATGCGCACCAAGATGGCGCATCGCCGCGCCCGCTCGACGCCGATGCTTCGACGCAGGCTTCCTCGCGCGACGACGGCGGCGCGCCGTCCGCATCGTCACGCCGTGGCAAGCTCAAGAAGCCGCGCGTGCACTTGGCAGAGCAAGATCGCGGGGTCTATCCCTTTGTCATGTCGCTCGGCTACAATCCCTTCTACGGCAACACGCAGCGCACTGGCGTGAGTCTTTTGCTTCCCCCCCCCCCTCTCCCGGCTTCCATCTCCCTCCTCCAGCGTGCCCACGACATTTCTCGGCTCACCTCTCTCTCTCTCTCGCGTCTTCAAACAAACAGGAGGTACACATCATGCATCAGTTCGCCTCTGATTTCTACGGCCTCGAACAGCGCGTCGTCATCCTAGGCTACCTGCGGCCCGAGTACAACTACGAGACGCGCGAGGGCCTCATCGAGGACATTGAGACGGACAAGCGTGTGGCGCTGGCGTCGCTCAGGCGTCCCCTGTGGCAGGCGTACGCCAGCGATCCATTTCTGGGTCCGGGGCCGGGAGCGGAGTAAAAGAAGAGCGCCCCTCCCCCCACCCCCTCCCCCGGCAGCTTGGTGCATCCCCCCCCCCCTTTCCCCTTCTGGCAGATCTTTGTCCTTCCCCCTTCACTACCCATCCCCGCTCATCCGGCCGC